CACACACACACACACACACACACACACACACACACACACACACACACGAACGCACACACACACACACACACACACACGAACGCACACACACACACACGACCGCACACACACACACTCACACACACGAACGCACACAAACACACACACCCAAACCCCCTCACCTCCCGTGTGTACTCCCCCAGCACGCGATCAAAGTCCTCTGGCACGCTCCCCGGCTCCACCAGCGTCCTGATCATCTCCGGCGACCCCTTCGCATACAGCGCGTACCCGCCTCCCACCGCCGCCGGCCGCCGCACCACCACGAGGTTCCGCTGCAGAGCGCTGCTGAACTCGAACCGGCGCACGATCGCCGCCGCCGCCGAGGGGTCGAAGCCGCCGACCGCGCCGGCCGCGCCGGGCGGGCAGACCCAGCCCAGGGCCGGCGGCGCGGGGCCGGCCGCGGCGACGGCGGCGCCGCCGTCCTGCTGCTGCTGCTGCTGCTGCTGCTGCTGCATCGCCGCCGCGATGGCGTCGGCGGCGGCTGCCGAGTGGGTGGTCGCTTCGTCGTGATCGTGCAGGTCCCACTCGCTGGCGGCAAACAGCTTCTGATCTAGGGGATCCCCCACCTGGCGATTTTGTTATGGGCGGTTTTGCAGCAGTTTGGCCGGGCAGTTTTGTGGGGTGCCCTAAACCATTGGGAGCTGCTTGGGCGGCGGCTCGCAGTCACGGCGGAGGAAGGGGCGGCTGACGCGTCGGGCATGCAGGGAGGCGACGAGCTCGGGGACTTGCTGGGCAGGCGCGGCTCTTTGAAAGAGAGCCGGGAACAAACCAATGGGTGTTTGTGTGAAGGTGCGGGGTGTGGGTGGGCTCACCAGTGTCTCCCCCATGCGCGCGAGGCCATGGCAGCTGGCGAGAAGCTGCGGCAGGCCAGGAGGCAGGGCCGCCATCACGCGGGACATCGGCTCAAAGGAGGAGCCGACAACCTGGATGTGATGAATCATGGGATGGATGGAGGGGTTTGTGGGATGCATTGAGTGATGCATGCTCGTGTGTGTGTGTGTGTGTCTGTGTGTGTGCGTGCGCGCGCGTGCAGGTGCGTGCTCGCGTGACTGTGTGTGTGTGTGTGTGTGTGTGTGTGTGTGTGTGTGTGTGTGTGTGCAAGCATGCAGGCACTTTCAGGGGGGCGAGTTCAGCAGCAGCAAGGTGCAGCATGCAGCAGGCGGCTCCTGGCGCTGACACGACACTACCAGGGGCCGGCCGCATGCATGGGGGCCCGGCCAGACACAAACCCTCCCAAACAGGCAGGACCCCAGAGGCCCGCACGCGGGGCCGCCCGGCTGCTGCGCGAGGGGGGGACGCCCCGCGGCAGGCCCCTTCCTGCCTGGCGACCGCACCCTTGACCGCTCCACCGCCGTCTGGATCAACACACCCCAATCACCAGCGAGCCCCAGCCCCTGGACCACCCAGAAGCCTCAGCACACACACAGCGCCCCCCCCCCCTGGCTCGTGCCCAAACAGGCGCCCCTGCCGGCAGCGCCCCCACTGGACATGTTGTAGAG